GATGTGCATCCTTTATAAGTGTACAGCAGGGATGGGCAACTATAAAAACCTGTCTACCTGTGAAATTGTGCTGACACAATGGGAAGGGGAAAGATGAATTCTGTACTTGGCCAAACACAATGGAAGCAAGCTGAACCCTAGTGCTGCTGCCAGCACTTTGGGGGCTTGACTTAGACTTGGCTGGTGGTTATGCGAGTCTGAGTGTGTTGTGGGATTAGAGTTGCCAGGTCCCCCTGGCCACTGGGCTGGGGGATGAGGGGTCGCCAGCTCCAAGTTGGGAAACTCCTGTAGATTTCGGGGTTGAGTCTGGTGAGGACAGGAACCTTAGTGAGGTACAATGCCATAGAGTCTACCCTCCAAAGCATCCATTTTCTCCAGGGAAACTGATCTCTGAAGTCTGGGGATGAGCTGTAATTCTGGGGGATCCCCAGGTCCCACCTAGAGGCTGGAATCTCTATGTGGGATCATGCCCATTGACATGCCCATTGACATCTTCCATGCTGCCCATTTTAATGGTGCTGCCAGTACCTCAGAAGTTTGCCTTGGTAGCTTGGGCACAGAACTGGCTTGTGTATTGTGCAAAATGGCTTGGCAGGGCATTGGCTGCCATGTGTGCCAGGAGTTACCAATACCTGGTATAGAGAACCAGTGGTAGAGATGATGATGAAAGGATAACTCATGAGTTCTGCCAGCTGTCTGAAAACGCATGCAGCCATTACCATTTTGAGCATGTAAGAAGGAACCTTCCAGTTTGTTGACAACTTTTCCTTAACAATTCATATGTTCCTGACATAGTTTAGGTCATGTTCATGGTTTAAACTGAAGCCCTAGCTAGATGTGATGGTGGTGTGACTGAGTCTCTGGATGTGGATCTGCCACATATTTGTAAAGCGGGATTGATTTAGAGTGGAGAGTGGAAGAGGTGACTTTTGTCACAATCTAGGCCTTTCTCCTGTTATTTTATGTAACACCACTTTGCCAATAGGAAGTCTCTTCAGCTGGAGAGTTGCGATCCACCTCACCATCCATACCCTCCTGTTATGTTATGATGCCTCTTTTGTTAGCCGCCCTGAGCCCTTTTGGGAAGGGCGGGATAGAAATTTAATAAATAAATAAATAAATTATACCAGATCCACTGTTCACTTTAGGTGTGTGAGGTAAAGTGGATTTCTTTTATTGGTGGTGGCAAGTACCATCACGTTGCAGCTGACTTATGGCAACCCCCCACAGGCTTTTCTCTGGGTCCTGCTAAGTGTGTAGTGGGTTGTATTGGTTGAGGATAAAAACAAAAAGGGTATAAAAACAAAACACATAAGTTTATTTAGTTTGTAAGTGTGACCTGTAATGCTTCCCCCACTCTAGCCTTATAGCTGACGCAGTTACCAGAGCTGGGAGGTGCATTATGACTTAACAGTTACACTGCTGGTTCTTTCACTTTGTCAGTCTTAGAAACAATAGCCAGCGTTAACAATTTATTGAGTTCTTTTTGAGGAACTGATTCCAAACCCTGCCTGTTTCAAACCATACACTACAGTCAGTCCCTGCCTAGTCCAGGATACCTCCTATCCCTTTTCCCTCCAAAACCCAGCTCTCCCTTTTGTCCGTTGGCTGTTGACAGTTATCTTCCCCTCAGGTTTCCGTACAGCCTATTTGAATCTGATTGGTCTGTTCAGAATGGGGAGGAAAGGGGGCAGAACCTGCTCCTGCCCATCACACCTTCCCCCCTCTGATGCCCCCCCTACCTCTTCCCTGTAGTATGGGGCATGATAGAAGTCTCTAAAATTATGTGGAGTTGGACTTTTAATTTATTAAAATTTTATACCATGGCATCTCTTCTGGTGGCTTACAATGCTCCCTTACAAAATCCCTTTTGTGCTCTGTCGCGTGATACAGTAGTAAAACTCAGGGGGGCCTCCAATCAATTTGACCGGGAGTCATTCAAGGCAGACAGGAAGAAGTATTTCTTCACAGTCACCAAATAATTACCTTGTGGAAGTCATGGCCAGAGGACGTAGCAATGGCCGCTGACTGAGATTGGAGGAGACTCGAGGATTGTCCCCTGAGTGGCTACTAGCCATGGTGACGAATCAAAACATATTCAAGGGCAGTTGCCTTCTAAATACATCAGGCCGAGGCATACGCTTTCCCAGGGCATTTGGATGGATGTTGTGTGAAACAGTTTGACCCAGCAAGGCTGCTCTTTATATTTCTTGTGCTTGTTCTCCAAAGTAAGCATTGGTGGGAGAAACCCAGATGGGAAGGGGCAGTACTGGCTACCAGGGGTAGGAGAAGGCTTCCACTCCTCTGCCATCGGAGTGCTGCCTTATGCCAAAACCTCCTCGCAAACAGAAAACTAGCACAGCACAATGAGAGCCAGTAAAGTCACACACACACCCCCGCTCTTTTTTTCAATTTGTGTAGAGTTTTTAATGCAAAGGAACTCCCCGCAGTCCAGAGTGGGACGGTCCCTTCTGCAGCCTGCTTCTCCTCCATATTTTATTTATTTATTTATTATCAAATTTGTACCCCGCCCTCTCCGCAAAGCAGGCTCAGGGCGGCTTCCAACATGACATATATACAGTTTAAAACACAATTATTAAAAACACTACAAATCAACAACAAGCATAAAGGTCCTGGTGGCAATTAAAATTCACTTAGATGACACACTTTCAATGGATTTCCATTTCCCAAATGTTCTAAGATGTTCCTCTGCTCGACGTTTCCTTATGGCAACAACTCAAGGGTGGATCATGGGGCCAGGTGCTGCAACTGTTGGTGAACCAGGCCTGCCAAACACGGGTTAGCCACTGTATTTTCTAATTAGAGTTGTGTCATTTCTTCCTTTTCAAAAACTGCAGTCCTTTTCTCACATAGATGTGAATAGCTATTTGAAGAGCAGTCCCTTCTACAAAAGGGAAAAGGAGAATCTATTAAAGAGTGCTTGGAGGACCCCCGTCATTTCAAAATATGACTCCCTTCTGGCAATAATATATGGAAGCACATCTTATCTTTGGACACTATCATTACTTAATCTCATGATTTGTGTAGTAATACTCTTGAAAGAATGGATTTGAGAAACTGTATGAATTAATTTTAATCCGTGTAGCCCAAAACATTCCCCCCTCATACCCACAATTGATTCGTTGACTGGAGAGGAACAGGAGATCCCAGCTTCTTTCTGCCCTTCAGATGACTGTTCAGGGGAGGAATGCAGTCCTCACTCACGTTGGCTGAGGAATGGGAGCTGCGTTCACTTCCCTTGAGCAACAAAACTGTCACCCCCACATACACCTGCCCCTGGCAGGGGCTTGCACTTGTGTCTTGTACAGATGGTGGAGATGTGCATGCACAATTACATCCAGTTTTCATTAGGAGGCAGGGCATTTAATGGATGTCTACTTTCAGTGGAGGTCCTCTTCTAACTGGAATCTTTGTGTGACCCACTTCACCATAAGTACTTCAAGAAAAATGTGACAAGCTCCTAAACCGGTTTGGGCTCTAGATGCACCCCGCCCCCCCAAAAAAATGTTTTGGAGCCTCCCATATATTTTGTATTGTGTTATGTATTCGTTCATTGGCTTTTTACCCTCTCCCTCCAAAAGTTGGCTCCCAAAGTGGCTTGCATCGACTTAAAACCAATTAATTGCAATATAAATTGCAGATCGGCTCCCTTGTAAGCCGCCCTGAGCCCGCTTGCGGGGAGGGCGGGGTATAAATATTAAAAATAAATAGATAAATAAATGCTCAGAAGTGATCAGAGAATGGGTTCTTCTCAAGGACTGGACCCAGGCACAATGCAAGGGTGCCTGATGACTTCCTCTTCTCCCTCTGGCTTCGGGGGGGGGGGGGGGGTTAGTAACCAGGAAGAAGACGACTCTCAGCTGGAACTGGATGTAGGTACAATGTCAGGATGGCTGGCTGCTTCCTGCCCTCCCTGGGATGTCATCACTGGCAGTTGGTCACTGGGAGTGTGATATTCCCTTTTGCTTAAAAAAATCAGGAATGGGGTCCACAGCTTCCTGCTCTTAAGTTCACACAGCATGTTCAAGAAGACAGAGGGATGGGAGCAACTGACTTCAGGACAAGGGAACTCATGCAGTCTACAGAAGTAAGAAGCAGGGAGTCCACCTTCTGAGACTAAATCAACTCACACAAATATGAGGAGGCACAGACTACAGGGAGGGGGGTTTATCTGCACATTTGAATGTATGTGTGAATATAGAAATGTGGGATGGAAAATGGAAGGGTGTTAAGTTTAAATCCACATTCTGGCTAATACAGGTCTTTGAGAATGCAGGTAATTTTTAAAAGTGGTTTTAGTGTCTTCTGTGAAAATGCTCGTGTAACTTAATCTCTCTCATGCTTACTTCAGAGGCAAATCCTACTGAATTCAAAGGAAATCTGAAGAAGTGTGCATGCACACAAAAGCTTATACCCAGAATACAACTTCGTTGGTCTTAAAGGTGCCACTGGTCTCAAATGTTGTTCTGCTTCAGTCCAACATGGCTACCCATCTCGATCTGAATTAAAAGGGAGTTATTCCCAATTAGAGGTATACAGGATTGCAGGCTCTGGAATCCAGTTTACTTTCCACTGAGCCATGAACATTCACTCAGGAATCTTGGGCAGACCACTTGCTTTCTGCCTCTGTTCCTTTACCTGACAATGGGAAAGCTTACGACCTACCTCACAGGGTTGTTGTGAGGGTGAATAAGGGGAACTAACTCGATTTTCACATTTAAATGCAACTAAAATGGTGAATGAAGATTTATTTTTATTTATTTATTTATTATTTCGATTAAATGGTGAATGAAGATTCATTTTTATTTATTTATTATTTCGATTTCTTATCTAAAGCAAGGCCAATGCAATTTCTATATCTTGCATTTTCTGAAGAGGATGTGGCAGGGGAAGAGAAAGTGTCTAATGATTGGATTGTTTTCATAGTGATGCTCGGTCCTCTAACCTTTTTCTTCTTTTATCCTTTGCATGTTTTACAGACATGTTACAAAACTCCTCAAGTCTCCTGACACAGGAAGTATGTCATCCAATGTGTATGAACCTTGAGGGTAAGACCCTATCAATATTGCCTCTGCTTTTATTCTGGGATCGAGTAGTGCAATATTGCTTATAGGGTCTTTTCTTTGGGGAGGTTTCTTCATGGAGAAAAATAAAAGAGAAAATACCAGCAAGGGGGGGAAAGGCAGGCTAGTTATGCACTTTTTTGCACTTGTGATCTTTGCCAAAAGGAGACCAGAAACTTGCCTGTGAATGCTGGTTATGACATATGATTGGGCATTAACTAACATCCCTATTGTTTTTTCAAGTTATGTAACCCTTGTGGATGCCTTAATGGAACAAACCACCTCCACACCGCTAGGACATCATGAAACCCCTTCTAGTGAGTGTTTACTTAGAAGCAAGTTCCACTGAACTCACTTGTACTGATTCCTACGTATATGTGTTGCCTGAATTAAAAGGCCAAGCAAGGGGTTGGGGGGTGGGGAGAGCAAAGAGTGCCCTTAACGGGGCTGGCCTAGCCCACGATGCAAGCTATTCCCAGAATATGGTCTCTTTATGTTATTTCAGAAATAAAATAGACATATTTTCCCCCTTCCATGCCTCCTGAGATCAGTGTATGTTATGGGATGGGGGGGGGGTGCGCGCATGCGCGCTATAAATTTGTTATGAGAAATGATACTTGCTCCCCTGCAACCCAAAGAGAAATGGGAATTTTGTTTGGGGGGGATTAGAAGAGAGGTGTGCATATTTTACAGCATGTAAGCACCAATCAAAAGCCTGATCATAACTCCCAAAATGGAATTTATCTGATCAGCAAATGTTCTTTTGCCCTGCAAAGTAACCAGAAGCCTTATAGCTCTGCAAAATGTTTTACTTTAGGGGAACCTGTAAATTAATATAAATGCATGCTTTCAAGCAGCTGGATCCCAGCTCTTGGGGCCTGGTTGAATGGATTTCCTGAGCAGGGGCGCTGAACCTCTATCTGCTCAATAAAGGTCTCTTACTATCCCTCCACACCACTTGCCCCTTACTCCCTTTTCCAGAGCTCAGTACTAAGGTATGTGGGAAAACGGTGGGAGTGAGGGGTGTTAAATCCCTTATTTTTCTTTGTAAATTATCAGTGGGAGGAGGAGGGGGGTTGACAGAGGGCTTGAAAAGGGCTGAGTGGGTGGCCTTTAAACTACTGTTTTCAGGTGGTCTCAGCGCTCTCTTCTGGGACCTTTTGAGGCCCAGGAAAAGGGCATAGGGGAGGAGGGAACTTCAGACCGGATTAGAAAACAGCAAAGGAGCAGATCTCTGGCCCAGAAAGGGGAAAAGGTGGTGTGGTGTGGGGGGTTGAGTGAGTGAGGGGTGGGAAGGATTTTTTTTTTTTTTTTTAAGAAAGAGCTAATCAATTCCCTGCAGCACTAACAGCCGCTGGCAGGCCAGAGCACAATGGAGGATTCTCCACACGAGGCCTGGATGTTTTATTTCTGCGGCCTAGTGTGGCCTGCCACTTGCCTGGGCCCTCTGGACGTTCTGTTATGAGTGTTCCTGGTGTTTTGTGCAAAGGGTCCAGAGCATTCTGTACATGAGACCACCAGCCCTTTCACCATTTTGGGGCTGGCTGACATCATGTAAACAGAGAGACTGAGAGGCCTGAAGAGACGGGAAGTAGGCTTGAATTTGTTTCTTGCTGGTGGCAGGAGAGTAATTGCTCAATACTTGACCACACACACACACACACACACACACACACACACACACACGTTCTCTCAGGCACAACACCTTTGCACCAGATTTTTAACTCCCAGGCAAGCCAGTTTGTTTTTTTAAAAAAGAAGAAATCATTCAGAGGTCAGAAATCTAAGGAGACTTAACACACAGCCACAGTGTCTCTCTTTCTCTCTCGTACACACACATTCACACCCCACACATTTGTTCTCTTTGTTGCAAGTGTAATCTAGGGCTTGTGAGGTGGTAGGGCCATGACAAGTTTTGCTACGGGGAAGTCTGCTACTCTTTCTCTGTTGCACTACTGTCAAACGTTGCAGCTAGCAGTGCAATAATGAAAGGGCGTCAGCCACCCCGGAGAGCAGCCGGAGAAGGCAGAATCCAACCTGTAGGGTCAGAGGCAGTTCCAACATATTATTTGCCCCTTTAGGACAATTTCTGGGCATCCCTCTCCACCACTGTTAAAACATCTCGACAAATTTGGCAATTTCTGGTGTTCTTTTTAAAGTGTCAGGTGAGTTGTGGCTGTGTGCCTAGTTGGCGGGCAGGACAGAAGGATTTGTTTGACTTGGAACAGCAGTCCCACAGCCCTGGTTGTCAACCCAAGTTTTTCACAGTGGCCTTGCTTTAGACTAAGCAAGGGCTGAAAGGCCAGCGACAGTTCCATCACTCATGGATTCCTTACCACGTGAACCAAGGCCCATGCAAAGGGCTATTTAACGACCTCCTTATCCTCCATGTGAACAACATCCCAGGCTTTGGTTGTGGATTACTTTACAGTGCACTTTACAGACCTTTTCAATACTGAGTATTGTATTTTCTCCATCCTATTGATTTAGGTGGCACCAATTGGTGGCATCTTACAAGGTTACGTAAGCGTATACAGCAGGTCCCTGCTTCCAAGGAGTTTACATTCTGAAAGAACTGGGAAAAGAACTGTGAAGGATCATGACTTGGATAACAAATTTGTTTTAATGAAATGGAGGTTTGGCTAGAAACCCTCCTTTAGGCCTTGGCTATTCACCACCCCTTTCCTTGTGCCTCAGCTTACACAAACAGTGAGCAACTGCACTGCAAATTAACAGAGGATTCTCTTTCTGTTTTGCCTCTGCTGTTGAAATCAGTTGGATCTAAAGGCGTTTAACTTTGGTTGGATTGTGCCTTAAGGGTTTGAAGGGGGGGGGTGTCCTTTGGTGTAAAATCCGCTGGGTGGGTCTGCCTTAGTAATTATTAATGTGGTAGGGAGGGGGAATGGAGGGTCTGTGGCTCCCCCCTCCTTCCGGTGTTGGATTTAGTAATTATTAATAGGGTGGAAGTGGACTGTGGTTATGTAGTGCAATGTGTATGAATGAGAGGGAGGAGGTATATGGGAGAATAAAGGAAAACTGTTTGAAATGATGAATTAGGAACTCTGGTCACAGCCTCATTCCTTCCACCAAAGTTAGGGAAATACCTGTTCTAGATTTATTTGGCTGCCATGAAAAGGATGTTTCTCAATGGTTATTTTCGAGGAGGGTTGTTGCTAGTTAGTGGACCTTCCCACATTGTCCTTTTTACTCCCCCTGCCTTTGCTGGCTCTGTTTCTTTTTAAAGAACAAAAACAAGGAACTAACAATATTTTCAGGATATCCCAGAAAACCACAAATGGACCCTTAATTCCCCCACACACTACTTTTTTGTAGTTAAGGACATTACTGGGTTGCTTGTAACAATACCAACTTAGCAGAGCCTACTCAGGTTTCTACTCAGGTATATTCAATAGGGTTTACTCCCAAGAAAGTGCTTGTAGGATTGTGGTATAAAAAACTGAGATCTTCCTCATCTCTTGTGCCTGGTGCAGGAGATCAGAATTTTGCCCTCTGTTAGGTAATTGCCAATTGTGAACCTGGATTAGGCTCCTTCAGCCAAGCCGGCATTTGTGAAGGAGATAGTGAGACCTGCCTATGAGTAGCACAGGGTGGCTAAACTGTATTAAGTGCTCTAGAATGTGAACTTGTATCTGCCAATAAATCATATCCCTTCCCAGTTTTCCTGTGCGCCAGCGCCATCTCATCTGGATGTTTTCTCAGACGAGGCTTCAATCCGTTTCTGAAGTGTCACTGGCAAAGAAAGGGGCTTTGACACAGCAGACCGAAACCTGCTGCCTCGGCCGGGCTAACAACATCGTGTGTGTGTTCCTCTTCCACGTCCTGCCCCCTATTAACAACAGCCTACATGGGGCCTAACCAGGCGTTCGAGGCAAGCCATTTACAAAATGGCCGCTGCGTGAATGTGTGGGTGGGCAAGGCTCTCTCAGGAAGCTCCTTTCTCTGTATTTTTTTTTAAGTTGCTATTTTATTTTGCTGGAGACCTGGAGTCTCCCCAGTGTTTTAGGCCCCACTGTTTGCATTTTTTCCCTCTCTTTTTCAGCCTTCTGTGGATCAGGGCAGTGGGATCTGCGACAGCTGCTGGGAGCGGCAGGCCCTTTGAAGAATCGGGAGGTTGTGACCCCCAGGCCCTTTTCCTCTCAGTGTCCCAGGAGGTCTTGAGTCAATCAGGGGGAAGGGGAGGTGAAGAGGGGTTTGGGGGGTGGGGTGGGTTGCTTCTCTTCAGCCGTTTGTCAATTGCTGAATGAAACAGGAAAGGGCGGAAGGGAGGAGGGAGAGAAAAAGGAGCTATTACTTCCACTTTGGTGGAGAGCTGAGATCCTCTCACACTCTGGAGGGAGAAGGATTAAAACCCACAATTAAAAGGCCCCCTTCACTCCCCCCCCATCCCAGCTGGTAGGGTGATAAAAAAGAGAGGGATTGGCTTGGGCCACGTCATGCAAAATGATATTCGTAAATAGGTGAGAAGTCAAAAGTCTTTTGCAATCGATTCTGGGTTTTTCATATGCCCCAGAGAATCCATGAGGCCGGTGGGTGGGGTGGGTTGGGAAGAGCACCAGGGGCACGGGGAAGTATCCATTACATTTAACACAATGAATTAATGACTTCTTTCTCTGGGAAGAGAAGCCCAAGCAAGTTGGTGAAACCGAGAGAGATCTTTTTTGAGCTGTTTGCTTTTATTAATTGGACTTAATTGGGCACTCTAGTTGACCCAGAAGCCCCGGATGTGGCTGGTTCAGACCAAGTCGCAGGGCCTAGAATCTCCCGGATAATAATTCCAGGCATGTTAGTCTGTTGTAGCAAAATGAATCAGGAGTCTAGTAGCACCTAAAAGATGGAACAAAAATGCATTCCGCTTCTGGATGTGGTTCTGCAAAGCCAGCATGGCATAGTCGTTAGAGTGATAGATTAGGACCAGGGAGTCCTGAGTTCAGATCCCCACTGCTAGGTGATCTAGAGCCCTTTACCTTCTCTCAGACTTTCTCACCTTGCAGGGTTGTTGAGAGGAGAAAATGGAAGAGGCGAGAAAAATATATACCAGCTGGAGTTCCTGGGAGGAAGGATGGGATAAAGTTGGACAGGATCAAGGAATCCTGATTCAAATCCCCACTTGGTCATGATGCCCACTGGCAGCACAATCCTGTATGTGTCTATTGAGAAGTAAATCTGCTTACTCCCAGCTAATTGTACACTGGAATGTAGCCTGGGTGATCTAGTATTTATTTATTTATTTATATTTACATTTATACCCCGCCCACCCTGTGAACAGGCTCTGGGTGGCTTAGAGGAGACAGCCGACAGGCTGATTCAAATAAAGCAATAAAAATATTAAAATCCCTTAAAAAACAATCTTAACAATAAAGTGCTGGCTACAGCAGAGTAACCTTAAGATGAATTGCGTTTTATCTGCGTTCCTTCTGTCTTCAGATCTCAAAATCAGTCCCACAGTCCAGATGTTCGCTGGTGAGGCTCAGAGCGGGCCAGTTCGATATTCCGGATTGATGG